TTTTTTTTGTTTGTTTCCTGCCTTTGTGGAGGGTTTTCCGTCTCTTCCGGAAAACTTTACTCGTTGGATAATGACTCAGGACTCTGCCGGAACCAGACATAGATACGGGAGGTACTGTAGTAGTAATACATAATGCAACGCGACGCGACGCTCGTTCCGTCATTTATTGCTGTGATTGTGATTATTTTTATCATCGTCGTGAACAATGGGGTAATTCATGAGGTAACAGGACGGCCAATGTGCGATGAGAGGGATTAGGTCAATCTGCATAATCTGAAGAATTTTTTTCACCTGCATTAATCCTCCAAGGTAAATGGTGTTTGCTATGCATAACACATGGCCGAGAATACAAAAAAATTGGGTATCTAAACTACAAACTTATCTTCCATATCGTACACCGTATATTTCTTCCAAGGTTATCAGGTCATCGATATTCCTGCAGGTAACCAGTAGAACAACCCGGCTACAGCACGGTCCTCTTAACTCGACTGCCCCTCAGCATCGGTCTGAGATGATCCCAAAAATCGCTCCGGTACGCCCCGCGCTGCTACCCCCACCGGTCCAACATAGCAACCCAGCATCGGACTCCAGGCATACCGCTGGTCGACCGTGTTGCGGATCTCCTTGTGTGCATATGCATTAGAAAAGGGGAGCGAGGTCTCTGGATCGCGATACCGTGATGGCAGAGACGTGATCACGCACAGTGACGAGGAGATTTCTGTTTCGTTAGCTTGGCCACTTCAACGAATGCCGATAAAAGAAAACTCACTGGCAAGTCTAGGCGGCTTCTTCGCATTAAAATAGATATTAAACTCCCGACTGTGTGCCGTTTTATCGTCAAAATTTTCCAGAACTGTGAGGATCCTTCCCGTCTGCTCTATCGTCGGTGGTGGCGGGGGAATCCCCGACTCTGGTCCCCCTTCATCTATCGCCACAGGCTGTTGTTGATCAACGTGGATTTCAGGAGCCAGTTGTTCCTGCGGTGTTGGCATCGGCACACTTTCAGCCAGTGTGATCTCGGCTGGTGCCGCAGCAGCCGCCGATGCAGAAGTTCCTATATGAGGTGTTGCCTGAGCTGGTGCAGATGGTGGTGCCTCTTGAGGGGTAGCATCTGGCTTGATCTCTTCCACTTGCCCCGCAGGTGCAGCCTTCGATGCTTCTTCTGACGGTTGTGTTGTCTCCGGACCGGGTTCCTTTGCCGGCTCCTGTGGTTTCTGATCGCTTTCCATTGGGTCTCCTTTAGGCGCTTCGTCTGCATTATCAGTTGATCCTCTACGGATCTCTTCCGTAGGTGGTAATTCTATGTCCGCTACTGGCTTCTGATCCGAAGCTCCATTGGCCGATATATCGTTATCTGGAGCATTGCTGGTTTCCTCTGTAGGTGGTTGAGCGGTGGGAAATCCCTCCACCACTGCCGGTGCCGACTGTTCCTGAGCCTTATCGCCACTCTCTGTAATGGCCTGGCTGTCTACATGAGTCTGGGTCTGAGCTTGACTCGTGCTAGGATCACCTTGCTGATTTGGCGGGGCCTGATCTTGCTTCGAAGCATCACCCTCGCTAGGTACCGGCCCCTGCGCATTCTCGGGAGCAGGGACAGGAGCAAGCCCTGGCGTTGGAGTTCCAATTGCCGTCATTGGCGAAAACTTTTTCCCACTGCCGTTCTTATCATCCTTTTCAACGGCCTTCTTGCTCTTTTTGGCTTTCTCTTCTCTATCCTGCTTTTGCTTTTGCGCAATGTCCACCTTTCCAACGCGCGTCAAGCGACCATTAACCCACGTAGCCAAACCACTCCAATAGGACATAACAGGCCCTTCAAGACGTCGGTTCTGGAGGGCTTCAATCTTCGCAAGTCTTTCCTCCGCCTTTCTTTTCTCCATCTCCTCCCATCGATTCAAACTCTTGCTGTTCTGCTTTTCCACGCGCTCTGCTTCAGCCAACCGCTCAGCTTGCGTCATCCCCTTGGGCTTGTATCGTGCCTTCCTCTTAGCCGCCTCCTCCATTGTAGCAATCAACCGAACACGCTTCTCCTCGCTATCCTTCAACCGTGCATGAGTCACCTCCTTATTTTGCATAGTCTGGCGACGCGATGACGACCGCGTAGGTCCATCCTCATCCGTAGGAATCCATGAAATTCGCTCCGACTTCTTCTTCGGCCGAGGAGCAGGTTCCGTATCCGACTGCACAGCAGCAGGATCAATCTTGACTCTTTTCCGCAGAGTCTGTAAATTTATAGTTTCCTGCTTCTTCTTTCGCTTCTTCTCCGCCTTGGCCTGGTTTTGTAGCTCGTTTTCTCCCTCGAAATCCTCTTCTTGTGCGTTGGGCCCCTGGTCTTCGTCATCGGAGGATTCCAGTAGTTCGTCATCTTCGCCGGCGTCCGGGTCTGCGTCGTAAAATTCGTTGTCATCTTCGACTTCTTCGAATAAAAGGGCTAATTCATCGTCGGCCTCGGCGTTGAGAAGGGCGGACATGTGTCGGCCTGCGGTGCTTCGTTTCGCGCGTCCTGAGATGAGGGATTCCACCCGCTCCGCTTCAGCGGCAGATTGGGCGATAACATCCTCGGCCATGTTGTATGTACGACCGTACTATATTCAAGGATTGGAGTGATCTCGCCGAGCTGCGAGGAGTTATGGCGCGGGGAGTCGGGCGTTGTAGGTTCAAATAAACGTATTTTCAACCGTTCGAATATATTCATAAGTTAAATGCATTAACCGCTAAGTAATTAACAAATCAAAGATGAGAGACGAGATGCGACGAGTATCCGATTCAACGCCTTGAATCAAACGCTCAGCAAAAGATAAAGGCGGTGACAGAATAAACGGCAGAACAAGTGGCGGTGCTTACGTATATCGTAGCCTGAGGCATACAGGCACTAATTGGAATACGGAGTCATGGATGGTGCAGACAATGGGTTTATGCATGCCTTTGGGATAGATCCATGGTTGAGGATTGTCTATCAACTTTATCCCCTCTTACTGAGGGGAATTGAACGAAATCTGCGTACGCAACCTATGCGACTGAGTGGTTGTTGTTAGCCACCTATTGTACGGAGTACCCCGGAGTGTGTACCTTACGCAGCTGCAGCTGTGGTTGGGAATGGAACACCACGTGCTCCAACCCGTAAGCATGTAAGATTTCGGCCACTGTTTGATGCTTGACGTCTAACAATCCAATCAGGAATTCCAGTGCTTGGTACTCCGTCTGTACTTTGGATAAGATAGAGCATCCAGACTACCGCACCCGGAATGCTACTTCACAGCGCGATGTTGTTGCTTTCTTGTTCATCTTCAAACACACCATGGACAAGTCCCTTACATGACTGCCTCTGTCAGCTCATTTCCGGCCTGAATCTCCTAACCCGTAGTTACCGTCGAGCTTCACAAACTTCCGGGATGCGGGGCGCTGGTGTGTTTCAGCTCAAGACGGATGGCAAGGCAAACCATTGGAACGGATCTGGCTGACAGAGGGTGTGACTATGTAAGCCAGGAACGCAAGCTGCTTTGGTGTTCTCCATGGACTGTATGACAGAGCTGTGATTTTAGCATCTACTATAATATAGAGTACAGAGATCAGCTTAATTTAA